CTTGTGGACAGCTGTGAAAGCCAGATAGGGGTGCTACAAGTCTGGAAGTTGAGCCTGATCTACCATTTGCAATGCTTTTCTCCATTTTCCATCCATATCCCACAGAGATCAGATGAAAGAGATGAAAGAGTCTGAGATCAAATACTACAGAAATAATTTTTTTTATCCTGGAGAGGGAAACTTCTTGGAAGATTTTTTTTGTTGATGCTGTTGGGGCTTTTTGGTTTTGCTTTTTTTTTGTTTTTGTTTTTGTTTTGGTTTTTTTTTTGCATCACATCCCAAAGACTGAAAAGATGAACAAAAAAAGAAGGGAGGGGAGGCCTAGTGGATAATTTCTAATATTACTTCAGATTTATTTCTTAGAAAACACTGAAGTTTCTAGACTTCATACAAAGTTGTGATGGGGATTTGGATCAAGTTAGACCGTGTCTATCCATCGCACATCTAAAAGCCAGTCCTGAAGGAAAAGAGAAGATATGGCCTGAACAACTTTGAAAACCTTAGTAATTTGACTTCTAGACACAAACAGAGGTGCTCAAGATAAACTGATAGTGGGATAAGTTATGTTTGATGGGGACTTGCAGATTAAGACCACCTGAAAGGAAGCAGAAGGTTTTGGGTGATGGTAGGAGGAAGAAAATATTGCTGTGATGCATATCACCAGGTGGCAGTGTTACACAGTCTTGCAACTCCTATGCGTTACTATAGCAGAAGTTTCGGGATCTTGGGAGGAATACTGATAAGGTATGTATTAGTTTTTGCTAGGCAGAAGGAAGCATGTAGCAGTTTCAGAAGAGACAGATCTCTCTCTGTATTGATCTCCCTGATCAGAGTCAATTCTTGGGAGGAAGTTACAATCTGGGAACTTGGATGTTGGCTTGGACACCTTAATCTTTAAACAAGGGAATTCATTGCACGCTGTTAGACTGTTCTTCACTGGGAAAAACAAAAGACCATATGCAAATGCAGTAGCATCCTTCACATGATTGACAGTGACTGAGTCTGTAGCATTTCCACTTGTACCTGAATCTGGAAAAATAAATGTGGACGTGGTACATATGACACGCCTTTGATCTGTAATAAGTCCGCAAAAGCTGCCCTACCGCTAAAGTTTGCATCATAAATATTGCAGGATTCAGAAGGCTGAGGGCTGGAAGGAATGTGTGTAAGTACATCTAAGTTCTTCTGTGCACAGAACAGAAATGGGAGAGCAATTTGCTGTGTCTGTCCTGCTAAATGCTTTCCTCAGGCTATCTTCATGTTGCAGATTCCGGTTGTAGAGAAGCATACATAAACAGCCCTATGTTTAGGGGTTTGGGGTTACAAAAAACCACCCTGCATTTCATACTCTTTGCTTTCTCCCTTTTGTGCAGGACCAGCATTTCCTGCTAGTCATTTGATATTACATCTTTCAATAACTGGAATATTTGTAACTCCACTCGAAGTATCTTCCCGCTCACCAACGCTATCTGGTCATATCGTGAAGCTGCACAAATCTTTTGAACAGCAACAGTAGTCAGAGGCTCTTTGGCTAATTTGCAGGCACTGGTCACACCTTGCATCATCCTTGCTACAGTTCTGATTATAGCTGGATACCAGCAAGGCTTGCTGGTTCATGTCGCTAGTGCCACCCCATTCTCTAGGCAGTGGACTCCAGTGAGCCCTGTACGTGGCCCTTACATGCCAGAGATTTTCTTTGCTAACTAACATTCTGTAACTTCAGCCTGAGTTTTGCAATGTAACTTGACTATGCCACAGTACGAAAGGCAAGAGAGAACATAAATTTTTCTTCCTTAAATTAAAAACTGCAAATACTCAGTGGTGTTGTCTACATCAGTAAATTAAACATGTTTAGGAACTTTCTTAGATACTGAGGCCAAATAGCATGTCATGGTCTGACCTACACTGAAGCTGTAATCTTGGTCACTGAGTGCTGGTTGGAAATTATTTCTGGAATGGTTTGACTCCCAAACTATGTCCAGGAGTTGTCTGGGAGAGTGCTAGTTGGCACATGCCCAAACAGGGTTACAGCGTTTTCTCATTTTTTATCTGCTACATGCAGAGACAAAGCGCAGGAATGATCCCTGGTGCAAGAGCAAAAGATGGCCAAGTTTACGTGGTAGAAAGGAGATCTACCTATAAATATCTAGTTTTGGCATTGATCTAAAAAATCTGGCTCAAAGTTTTCAGACATGTTCCTTTTTGGGGGAACTATCTTCCCAACAACTGTAACTAAAAAAAGGTATTGTAATATTTCTGTGAGCAGTTACATGGTTTTAAACAAAAAAAAATAATACTAGAATGCTGGAAGTGATTTCAGATGTTCCAATTGTCCTAGGTCAGCATCTTACACAGGGAGAATTATGAACATTCAAAGCAGAATATAGCTGATCCTTTCTCCCATGAAGAAAACACGCAGCAACATGTAAGGAATGACTTGCAGAAGCCACTGCATATGGTCTGGCACATATGAGACATTGACTGAAAACATTGCTTCTATATTGTCTGCTTTCTGACTAAAGGAAATAAAAGGGGGTCATAGGTTTAATAAAGTTATTACATCCAGAAGAAGAATGGCAAGCAGGAGAAGTGAAAATTAACAAGCCTCATAATGAATTGCAACTTTACAATAAGAGGGACTGGTGACAGTATAATGCATGAATTGGTTTAAGATGAAGACTACAGCACTCAATGTGCCATTGAAATGGGAGGTTCAGTAAGTGCACATACTGACAAAAAATAAGGGAGGTTTATGCTTTAAACCTTGGAACAAATTAATCCCAGAGAGATGACTGAAGTTAACATGAATTTATTAATTTAACAATTTTTATCCTTGTGACAAGGGAGACACCTGGGACTTGCTGCACAATGAAGAATTGGTTTATTGGAAACCTCAACTGGCTACAAGTGTTGAAACAGCTCAGGTCAAGCGGTGATAAATAATTTCAAGAAACCAGTGTGAGGTAGGTATCACTTTAATTTTACATTAACAGATCTATTAGATGTTAACCTTGTCAGACAGGTAATTGCTAAATGAAATCATACTTTTGCACCTTTGCTTCATAATATCGTTTGCTTACTCATGCATTTTGTACAAACCTGATGTTGGCACTGACACTGTTTCGCATGCCCATTGCTTCAGACTAGCAAATATTGTATTGACCTTTAAAATAAATGGTAAGTATGCCAATTTTTATTTTTAGCAACTCGGAAAATGTGTTGAGTGTTACCTCAGAATTGGCAAGGAGAAGGGACATACTGTGTTGGAATTTTAAAATAATTTTGTGTGCACATTTTCATGCATCTAGTAGAAATGACAGTAGAGCTGGCATGTAAATTTTAACAGGTGAAGGTATTTTGCCTGAAATTGTTAGGAGGAATAGGTCATTTCAGGATTATTTTATTTGAATGATTGGTGAACTCTGAGCTAAACACTGACAGCATAGGATCTTGAGGAATTATTATGTTAGAAAAAAGAGAATCCTAAATCTTACTCGTAATTCTTTTATTTTGAAATCCACAGAAACTACATTCATTTTGTAGGAGTATCTCAAAACTAGCTTGTAAGTGACTTTGGATTTTCCTTGTAGTTAAACTCTCATTGGAGATTTACAGATGAGTTGTATTTGAAAGGGAAAATGTTGGGATTGAACAGTGTTTGCAATTTTTAGGGCTTCATTTTGAACCCGGTCGTGTTCCCATTAAATCGATGGCAGCACGACTGTGTTCAGAATGACCCTTATCATCGCTTCATTGATGCTAATGAGTTACAGCCATTGACTTCTAAAGAAACTAACTGATTTTATTAAAGCTTAATCCCACAGGGCCTTGCACAGTAACGTGGACTTCTATAAAGAGAACATAAAACGCTGCCAAATGAAAAGGCTATGTTCTCTGTGTAGGGATACTTAGCCTCTGCTGAGCATCATGAGACCCAGGTTCACTCTGGTGCCCCCAACTGCTGTTCAAACTAGGGCCCCGTTCAGTATAACTTGGGGTGTAACTGCACACCCATATGCAATTGGGAAGAACTGGGTGGTGGTTGGACGTGCCATGGGTTGTGACTCTACATAAAGCCACGAACCATCATTAAGAGCATTAAAATTCATAAGTAAAAGCCTGTCTTTGAAAGCTGCATAAACACATTAATTCATGTGGACCTGAAATTATTTTTTTCTAGTTTCAGAAAAATGAGAGCTTTCTAAAAGTCAAGTTTTTCATTTAAACCTTATTATAAATATTTTTACTTCTCTTGTGCATCCTTTCTGTCCAGTAAAAAATATTTTTTGCCAGTCTTCATAAATCAGTCACTGTCTTGAGTAAGTTTAAATAAATAAGAATTTTAAATTTAACTGAAATTCACAATTTCTCTGTTTAGCAAATTTAGCTTTGATCTCCTTTTCACGGAGATGAACGTACAGTGTCAACGATCTGTTATTTAATGAGAAAATCTTAAAGTATAATAGCATTTCTGTATCTTACTTCAGTCTAAATCCTTTAGCAATGTTTTTATTCCAAATACGAATTTACCCACACAAGCCTTACTAGTGCTATTCTGCTACCAAAACAAGGCTATTTTTAATGTTGCTTCTTTTTTTTTTTTTTTTGATGGTTGCTTGTTACATAATGAATAGGCTGAGGTGAGAACAAAATGCTTCTATATCTTACATGTATAAATATTTACATTTCTCTGGAATAGGCTTCCTGTCGCTTAGTAAAAGAGAGAGGTTAAAAGGCAACCTCATTAAGTCCACGCTTGGGAGGCCCAGGGAGTCAGAAAGCAGGTGAGCACGGTGGTGGGCATAGCAGAGAAAAGAGTCAGGTCTCACTAGTGGGGAGATAGACGCTCTGCTAATCTCACTGGCAAAGAACATGGTGATTTTCCAAGAGAAAAATGCTGTTTTCCACTTTGGAAAGAGTGACTGCGTGCACACCTCCTTGTCATTGCAGACTGAACAGGTTCATTTGACACCAGACTCTGCATTTTCTTCTGCCAGAGGATGGAGGGACCAGGCTTCCAGTACCGTGGTGTGTGGCTGTACAAGGGTGAATTCCACCAGGTAAGCCATGGCGTTCTCCTTACAAAATTTCACTGAGGAAAAAAGTGCATCTCTTTTGATGTCTTGGCAAGACCCAAGAACTTGCTACTCTCCGACTTTTACCAGCGTAGCACCTTAACACTGCTGTGGGACCCTGGAAATGTGTATGTGTGGGTGGCACGTTCCTGTATTTTAAGTCAGGTGGTGTGTGTCCTTGTTCTTGTGGTAACAACGTTTGGAATATCTCATAATGTTTAGAGTTTTAACTCCTTTTGTTTAGATTATTTTGTGGTAATTTCTATTATTTCTGACAAGCTTTAATGGGAGCCGATACTCTCTTCCAAGAGTCCAAATACTCTTACTTTCTATATAAAAATCTTCAGCTTAAAATACATTGGTCTAACTATTTTTTTTTATTGTAAAGTTAAATGGTCCCATGGGAAGGCACTACTCTTCTGTTACCAGCCTTCCAGAGGTGAAGTTGTCTTTAGAGTTGAGCAAGAAAGTTGCTTTAGCGCTGTCAGATGTCTAATTAATGCCTCAGTAAATAAAGGCATTCTGTAATTAAATAACTGAGATGTGCAATCAGTTCTAACATGAAATGCTTTGCATATTAATATATTCTAATCCAGGAGCTGTACAAGGCTTGTATTTGGATATGAAGTGTTTGTAACAGACTTTTAAAAATATGGAGAGCTCGTCGCAGACGAAACAGTGTTTTTTGACAAAACTCAGCTAAGTGTGACCTGTAAGCTAAAGGTTTGAATGTGTATTAAAAATGAATTTTCAACAGGGAAAACAACACAGTTTCAGACTGAGGATTGTTGTAAATATGTGGAGGGGCTTGAAAAATCAACTTTTAAACCTTTTAATAAAGTAGCTGCTGGGGAATCGATGTTCCTGCCTTGGGAATATAAAGTTTGCTGCAAAGTCAGTTCAGCATTTGGGACTTTGTGCTTTTAAGACCACAAGAACCATCAGCGCTGCAGATCATCTCATCTACATTTAATTAGTTAATCCGTGTAGTAGTCGGTGTTGTCCGACGCAGTTATATGGAATACTTTAACACTGGGGTTACGGGCACGGGCTGGAAACCGCAAACGGTACAAGACACGATTCCCCCGCCCCCCGAGCACAAATAACGGGATATTAAGGAGTTTCAAAGGGAAAAAAAAATGACGTTCTCGGTCTCCCGACCGAGGCGCCGGCAGGGCCGCGCCAGCCGCGCCGAACCCCACAGCAGCCGAGCGAGCGCACCTGGCGCAGCCCCCTTGTCAATCTCATTGGCTGCATTTCGCCCCGCCCCCGGCGCCTCATTGGCTGCTTCCGCCTCCCCCCTCCACCCGCGGGCGATCGGTCTCCGTCCGATACCTGGAGGGGAGCGAGGAGTGACTCCCACCGCCCCCGTTTTAACTCTCCGCCCTCTCTCATTGGCGATAGCGCCGGCGTGCTAGGCTCGCCCATTGGCTGCTCAGGCTGCCGGCTTTGCTCCGATTGGCTGGCGGGGGCCGCCCCGCCGGGGGGCCGAGCGGTGTGTTTGGGCTGGAGAGTTGCCGGTGGAGCGGGCTCGGGAGCTGCGGTTGCCGC